TTAGTATTCTCTAAACTGCAGCTGGCGTTTTCCTGGCACGAAAAACAATCATCTCGCAGGGCCTCGTGTGATTTCCCATGATCTCGCGGGATCTGCCGTGATCTCGCTCGTCGCCTCCAGCACAAGATCAGTCTGACTATAATGAATCGTGTTATCTCAACATGATTCAATTTCATAAACGTTAAGTTGATGAATTTCTTGTTTGTTCAACATGATTTTATCACGTTTTTGTTTAAAACATGAAATTATTGTGTTAAAAGTACATGATATTCTTTTATTAATCTAATAACCCCCTAAGTTCATTTTTTTGAGTGCATGATTTTTTTTAATGTTAATCCAAAGAGTTATTTCTTTCAGTGTACATAGCAACACTGATATGTGCACAATCCTGCCAGGAAAATTTAGTATTCTCTAAACTGCAGCTGGCGTTTTCCTGGCACGAAAAACAATCATCTCGCAGGGCCTCGTGTGATTTCCCATGATCTCGCGGGATCTGCCGTGATCTCGCTCGTCGCCTCCAGCACAAGATCAGTCTGACTATAATGAATCGTGTTATCTCAACATGATTCAATTTCATAAACGTTAAGTTGATGAATTTCTTGTTTGTTCAACATGATTTTATCACGTTTTTGTTTAAAACATGAAATTATTGTGTTAAAAGTACATGATATTCTTTTATTAATCTAATAACCCCCTAAGTTCATTTTTTTGAGTGTGCCTACAATCAACATAAATGCTTACCACGAACAATTATTGGATTGACAGAATTGTTCTACCTCTTAATGAGAAACATCAATCATCCTTTTGCACATGTGGTAAATTTGACCAATTACATAATGGATAGCCTGAAGCATACGGGCTTAAGCATCTTATCAACACAGTTTTATTCATTTCCTCAGCTGTATGATGATGTTTGATCAACAAACACTCTATTCACATCATGTTTTACATTTTAAATGAGATTCAAGACAGATTAACAACCCTGTAATGTCTCTTCAGCCGTCAGCAGTCACATTCAAAGTGTTTATGGTCACAGGTCAAGTTCACCTTCCTACCAGACAGGATGTCACTTTTCTTCACAATTTCATTTGATGATACATAATATGGGATTGCATAGAAATCCAAGAAAGCAACCATTGAAAAACACAAAATACCTACTATGTCAAGTCTTTACTGGTGTTGAAGGTGTTCAGAGTATTTTCAGTGCTTATTTTTTTTTCCTACTCCAGATTTTTATTATTTCACAGAAAACCAACCAAAACATAGATGGCTTGTTCCTTCTGCAGCCATTTTGTTTAGTAATTATGCTACAAATTACATAATTACATTCCCATGTATTTTTCTTAACTGGACACATTTTAGTGCTAATGGAAGTCACATGTTTCTTCCACTAAGTCTCCTGACAACACCTCGTCTCTTGTTAATTTGTGTTGTGGAGATATTAAAAATTACGGACTGATTTCGGTCTAGGCTGGATATTTAGTGTGATTGATATGCTTTGAATTACATCTATTCAAACTGTTGGTTTTGAGAAAATGGTGAAAGTATTTCCTGCAGTGTTTTCAGCAGGGATATTGAATTACATATTGAAAGACAAACCACTTCATGCCTTTTTACACATGTAGCAATTCAATCTATGATGTCAATGATCTATACTTCAGTACCTGCATGAGAAGGTATTCTATAATTCTAAGTTGTGATGAATGCAGCTAAAACAATATATTTCTTAAACAATTAACCTCGTTTATGATCAGGAGACATTGGACTCTTTTTGTCTTTCTGCCCCCCTCATGGTCGCCCAACTGTCACCTGAAATGTCAGATTCTTGCTCATAATCCCGCCTGCCTGCAGCTGCCATCAAACAAGCGGCGTCCCCCGCAGACCCTCATTTTAAAATAAAAATGCTTTTAAGCTCTAGCTTGTATCAAATGTCACAGATTGATCTAAAGCTCTTCTTTGACTTGACCTACTTGAAAAGCAAAATCGGAGAGTTCTCCGACCTGCTAACTAGACTGGACTGTCTCATGTCGTTATGAGTTCTTCGCTCTTTGCTCTTTTATTTAATAATTACTGAATGAGCTCCACATTTTCAGTTCGTGTAAATCTGAGTGAAAGATCTGAAACTCCCCCATCCGTGTTATGGTTATCGCATCTGCATTGTGCTGTGTGGCTCGTCTGCATCAGAGACTGAACCTTTCACTCTGGAGTCACCATGTGGTCGCAGCATGACTTTGGTGTGGCTCCATTTCTTTCCGGCGTGGAAAAACAGAAATTTGATAACAATGCTGACAGAAAGCCCGTAATTATGAGGACTAAATCCAACAGGTTGGATAGGATCGGCCACAGTATCAGCTGTGCGGAAGATTACAGGGCAGATGACAAGTACCAGATGATTTAAAGGCTCCCAGTTGAAGCGTTTCATATTGATGAGGCTGAAAATAGACAATTTGACAACTCCACATTTGGCTGTGTATTATTTCCAATTTGGTATTCAGATTTAATTGTATTAGCATAAGTGGCATGGAGCCAGAGAACAGCTTGTATTTGTATTCACAGCACAGTGGCCAAAATGCAAAACACAGTCTGTCAGGGTGGGTATGACAACCGGGTCGAACTTTCAAAAACATTTCCTGAAAATGTGACAGGAGTATTCAACAGAGTTCAGGACAAAAGCATGGTAATACAATAAATTATAGATTACTCAAAGCTGACTCTTAAACTGGGCTAAGCATCTAAAGAATTCAGAGCAGACACAATGCTGACAGCTCTGCATTATTCATGCCTCTCTCTCTCTCTCTATCTCTCTATCTCTCCAGTGCGCACACGGACACACACATTCACACATTCCTTTGAATCGTCAGCAACATAGTTGAAACAGGTGGATGAAAACTTTTTTTTTTTTTTATTCCTAAAGACCAGCTGATGCGCTTAGAGAATTATTTATTGAAATAAGAGTCATCCACAGCATCACCTCCAACTCAACCACACTTTGACTGTCTGGAAGGATTTGAAGCACAAAACTCAGCATGAAATGAGAGAGACAATAATTAGTTTCTGTTTTTTCCACAATCTTATGAAGTTATCACTCTGCTTTAGAAGGAAAAGCCATCTTCAGAGACAAAGTGAAGTTTACGCATAATTGAAGTAATTACCACTTAATTACTAATGAAAACCTCCCAAGTGGTCTCTTGGGAGGTTTTCATTACCAACAAAGTGACTACAAGGAAGAATTATCTTATCTTGTGACAGTGGATTTATTTGTAATTGAAAATAAAAATGTTGTGGTTTGATTAATGAAAACATTTCGCTGCATGTGCTTTAAGCAATTCCAACATTATTAATAGTTGTTAATATATCCTGAGGGTGCTTATTTTTTCTCTCTCTCTAAAAATGGAAAATGTGAAAATGACACACACACGCACACACCTACACACACACACACACACACACACACATTTAAAGTTTTTCTTTTTAATTAAATCAACAATTTTATACATTATGGAAACATTCTCAAAAACATGAGAGAAATTACGGAGAGAGCATAAAAACCTCTAGAACTATCTGTTCCTGTTTGATGTCAAAATTTATTTAGAGTATTTTTTTCACTTTTGGTGATTTTGCTCATTAATTTCTTGACATTTCCTTTATTTGGGTTGGGCTTGGTTTTGATTTTTCTCTTGTTTGCCATCACTAAGCTGAGTAATACAGTTTTACCGTTTCCTCTTCGTATTCTCTTCCTCTGCTGAGACGAGTGGCGTCCTGGGTAGGATCAGTTCCCCTCGTCGCTCAAACAGCATCTTACCCCAAAACTGACATCACAGCATCATTATTTTGGCTGGTCATGCACAGCAGCTCAATGTTGGTGAGGAAGATGTTCTATTTTATGTATAGACGGTAAATAAAGACAGAACCTGTTGGTGTGGGGCTGAATCTCTCACAGGTGACTAATTATTTTCACAGCACCAGATTACACCCTGAATCAGCTCATATGTCTAAATATCAACCATGTCTAACTGACTGCAACTGAGGGCTGTTTCACAAAAGTTGGATTATGAAATCCAGGATATGGGACAAAAACAGGTTTGACTTGGCGTCATCAGTTCATCCTGGCTTTACCCGTTTCACAAAGACCAAACCAGGCTGATCAGATGCGACTATGTCGAGCCAGGCTTAAGTAATTCAGGCCAATGTGCATCCACAGATATGTACACTCAGAGGAAAGGGTCTCTAAGCACTGCAGCCCGCCGTGGTCCTATACTGCACAAATCCTAGATTCCAAGCACAGGACAGTGATGCACCATGACTGGCTTAAACCATATGAAAGTGGCTTGATACCAGCCTGAGGTTTACGCCACAGAAGTAAAACGTTGCAGCAATGTCGAGACCCAGAATTACAGCCGTACAAAGAGGATGTTCTCCTGGATCTAAGTAAGTAAATTTAATGAGAGAAATCCTTTTCTTGTCGTGTGTCTTCCCACACACCTCTATCGCACCAGAAGGCAAAAGCATGGCAATACTACCAAACAAAACATTTGTGGGGGTGAAGGCCTAACTATAAACTGTTAAACAGAAGAGCCATTGCTTGTGACCGCATTCAAGTCACACTTTCCTTACTCCTTAACTAATATGTTTTTAAAACAAAGGTTTGTGCTCGTGTGTTTCCTCATTGAGAGTTTTATAGGACAGTCAGTGGCACTCTCACGTGTGCCAGATCCACAGCTTGTTAATTTAGCCTAGCTGAAAGGTAATCGGGGAAACGGTTCGCCTGTGCAAAGAGAAGCCCGTCCGCCCACCGGCCCTCTGAAGCTCACTAATCACCATATTGCTTTGCTTCCTTCTATCCACACAAGCCCAGAGTGTAAAACAACAACAACATCTTACCAGTTGATAGAGGTTATGTTTCCAAAGATTTCTTACTCAGGACTAGTTGCTAGGCAACCGGTTTCAGGCAAACACTGTGTCACCCTTACAATTCAAAGTTGTGCTTTAATCAATGGTTGGGTATTCTTTACCATTCATAAAGTTTTGACTCACAGCACAGGAGATGTGAACACCCACAGCCCAGCCACCCTGGAGGATGTCACTGGCGACTCCTCTGTCTGATGGCTCCTACCAAGATGGACTGAACAGGTTATTGGAAAAACTTTCTGCAGCCAATTTATTCTTCCAGGCATCTGCTCAGTGAAGCAGCAGTGCCAGCGTCGTCCAAGACATTTCGCACATGAGCAGAGCAGCTTGGATTCAGTCTGCCATCGCTGGCATATGTGGGTCAGGAAGGACAGAGGAAAGTAGAGCGGTGCTGAGGACATGGGAAAGATAAGATGCATGAAATTAACCTTCTAAACATTGTTCCTATGAAATAACAACAAAAAAAAAAAATTCTTTATGACAGCCTTAGCAGTAAGATGAAAAAAAAATTACCCCATTTCTTTTCTCATTTAAATACGTCAAATTGGGAAATAAATATTAGATTGAAAAATAATGTGAGTAAATCGTAAAAAAGCAGTATGATGATTTAATTTATATAGAGAAAACACATTCCTAACCAACTTGGCCTTGAGTGATAAAGTAAGTAGAAGAGCTCTAAGCCTAATATCTGGTTCTGCCGCCCTGCATGGTATCAGATGCCAATAAGAGTTTGAGGAAATTGGCAGCTAGTGTTTTACATCGCAGTGAAAGTTTTAGTCCTCTTTTTATCTAGAGAACTGTTTTAAATTG